GGGTTAAAGTCCTTAAAAGTAAAAAAGAGAGTAGTAGGGTGTGGTCGTACACACCTTTAATCCCAATGCCACTCATAAACACTTTCAGTAATATAGCAGGATATAAGACTAACTCAAAAAAATCAGCAGCCCTCCTGTGCACAGATGATAAATGGGCAAAGAAAGAAATCAGAGAAGCATCACTCTTCACAATAGACACAAATAGCATAAAATATCTCAAAGTAAATCTAACCAAACAAGTGGAAGACTTGTATGACAAGAACTTTATGTCTTTGAAAAAAGAAATTGAAGAAGACACCAGAAAGTGGAAAGATCTCCCATGCTCTTGGGTTGGTAGAATTAGCATAGTAAAAATGGCAATCTTACCAAAAGCAATATACAGATTCAAGGCAATGTCCATCAAAATCCCAGCAAAATTATTTACAGACCTCAAAAGAACAGCACTCAACTTCATAAGGAAGGCCAAAATCCCAGGATAGCGAAAACAATCCTGTACAATAAAGAAACTTCTGGAGGCATCACAATCCTTGACTTCAAACTCTACTATAGAGCTACAGTACTGAAAACAGCCTGGTACTGGCATTAAAACAGACAGGAGGACAAATGGAACCAAATAGAAGACCCAGATATTAATCCACACACCTACGAGCACCTGATTTTTGAGAAAGAAGCAAAAAAATATCAAATGGAAAAAAGAAAGCGTATTTAACAAATGATTCTGGCATAACTGGATATCAACATATAGAAGAATGAAAATAGATTCACATCTATCACCATGCACAAAACTCAAGTCCAAGTGGATCAAAGACCTCAACATAAAGCCAACCACACTGAACCTTACAGAAGAGAAAGTGGAAAGTACCCTTGATTGCATTGGGACAGGAGACCTCTTCCTAAATGTAACCTCAGTGGCACAAACACTGAGAGAAACAATTAATAAATGGGACCTCCTGAAACGGAAAAGCTTCTGTAAAGCAAAAGAAATGGTCAACAAGGCAAAAAAAAAAAAATGGCAGCCTACAGAATTGGAAAAGATCTTCACCAGCCCCACCCATATAGAAGACTGATCTCTAAAATATACAAAGAACTCAAGCAATTGGTCATAAAAAGAACAAATAATCCAATAAAAAATAGAGTACAAACCTAAACAGAAAACTCACAACAGAAGAATCTAAAATGGCTGAAAGACACTTAAAAAAATGCTCAACATCCTTAATCATCAGAGAAATGCAAATCAAAACAACTCTTGAGATTCCATCTTACACCTATAAGAATGGCCAAGACCAAAAACACTGATGACAACTTATGCTGGAGAGCTTTTGAGGGAAAGGGAACATGCCTGAATTGCTGGTGGGGGTGCAAACTAGTTTAGTCCCTTTGGATATCAGTATGGCAATTTCTCGGAAAAATTAGGAAACAACCTTCCTCAAGACCCAGCAATACCACTTTTGGGTATATACCCAAAGGATGCTTAGTCGTACCACATGGACATGTGCTCAACTATGTTCATAGCAGCATTATTTATTATAGCCAGAGTCTGTAAACAACATAAATGCCTCTCAACCAAAGAATGGACAAGGAAAATGTGGTACATTTACACAGCAGAAATTCTCAGGCAAATGGATAGAAAACATTATTTTGAGTGAGGTAACTCAGACCCAGATAGACAAATACATGTACTCAAATATGTCCTCACTCATAAGTGGCTTTTACACACAAAACAAAGAAAATCAGCCTAAAAATCATTATCCCAGAGAACCTAGACAGCAATGGGTACCTAAAAGGAAACATACATGGATCTAATCTACATGTCTTTCTATAGCTTGCAAAAAAAGATCTCTTGAGTAAATTGGGAGCATGGGGACCATGGAAGAGGGTTGAAGGGAAAGGGAGAGAAAAGGAGGGAAGCAGAGAAAAATGTTCAGCTCTATAAAACTAATTTTTAAAAATAGAGTTAAAAAATGTTATTTCTGTCCAGACAGAGTCTTCTGGACTAAAATCATTATAACTCTCTCAGGGGAATCACATTCTGTTATCTCTTACCCTTGCAAGTATCCTTTGAATTTACTGGTTTTTGAGTTTGTGCACAGGCCTGTTGGTGACTATCATCTTTCTCCTCTCCAACCATGCTAAGTTTGAGTCTGTTCTATTGATGAACTCATGAGTGGAGATCCTCCATGGGCATATGTCTATTCACCTGAATCTCCTTTGCTGCTACTTCAACAGAAATAGCCTATGTTTTTTTCAGCCTCGTAAAAGGACATGGGGGACCATTGTCCTCAGTTTCATCTGTATCCAATGTGAATATCCAGGACATATTTTTCTCTCCCCACCCCAAATGGGACCAATAAGAAACCCTTCTTGAACTTCCACATCTAGGGTTAGGGTCTGAGTTATAGTTGTGATGTAATGAACTAGGGTATGTTCAAGAGGAAAACAGGCAAGACCAGGTGATGAAAGATTAGGAGAGAAGATAGATTCAAGGACAGGACAACTGTAAGGAATCTTAAAGTTCTGTTTTATGATGACCACCCATGGTATTCACAGACTTCCTGTGTCCCTACCCTCTGAGATGGGTATCCCTGGTACTTTACCTTGTGTGAGGTTAAAATGATATGAAGAGTTGCTGGCATCAGGAACTGAGAGGGAGAAGAGGAAGAGAAAAATGAGATCTTGATTATTCCTACAACAGTTTTCAGCCCACCTCTTTCTTCTGTGCTTTCTCCAAGAACTTTATTTACATCTATTGTATTTAAAAACATTTTTCTAAAAGATTGTTCACTGATACTTCCTGACACCATATGCTAGTGACCCTTTTCTGAGTTTAATTTCGTGCTGTCATTCTCTTGAATATTAATTTATTCTGTGAATTTTATCATCATGATGGGCTTGGCAGCAATACAATATACAAAACCAGATTGAGAAAGGATACATTTTCTATCACTTTTTGGGATCTTATGTGTGCTATTCTATAAAAGGTAAAAATAAAAAAAACATATCCCATCTATCTTTCTTTGTAGATTAGTGGAGTAATAGTATGGGGATTTCCTGTAGCCAACCTATGCATCAACGAGTTTCTTTTTTTTTAAAAAAGTGTGAAGTGCTGTTTATGAAGTTAGGAAAATATGCTTTTCTGATTCACCAATCTATTTAATTTGGATATATTTTCCTATATTAAAATATCTATGCTAGTAATCAAACCTAGGGTCATGTCTTACCTTCACATGCTAGGCAGATGCTCTACAGATAAAACACACTCCCAAGACTCTTGCATTTAATTTTTTAAAAAACATTTATTAATGTTTATTTTGTGTTTATTGGTGTTTTGCCTGCATGTGTGACTTGTACAGATTTCATGCCTCATATTGAAAGAGGCCAGAAGAGAGCATCAGAGCTCCTGAACTAGAGTTACAGACAGTTATGAACCACTGTGTGGGTGCTGGAAAACAAACTCAAGTCATCTGCAAGAGCAACAAGTGTTCTTAAATACTGAAATATCTCTTCATGCCTCAGGGATTTGTTTTTACTCATGTGTATGTGTTTATGTGTTTCTCTGTGTGTATATATACTCACATGAGCTCAGAGAAGTTGGAGGCCAGAAAATTGCATGGTACCCCTTAAATATGGAATTATAGGTGATTGTGAGCCACCTGGTGTGGGTACTGGAAAATGAACTTGAATCTTCTTGAAGAGTATCAAGTGCTCTTAACAAATTAGCTACCTTTACAGCCTTTGATTTTTTTTAAATATTTTATTTTATTATAGTATCCATGTGTTTGAGTGTTTTGTCTATGTTATGTATGTTTGTGTGCAGTGCCCACTTTGGCATTGGATCCTCTGGAACTGAAGTTATAGTTGGTTGTGAGCCATTATGCAGGTGGGTGCTGGGAATTGAATCCTGGGCCTCTGCAAGAGCAATAGTTCTTTTAACCACTGTGCCATCTCTCCAGTTCCTCCTTACATTTATTTATTTATTTATTTATTTATTTATTTATTTATGATTTCTGTCTCTTCCCTGCCACCGCCTCCCATTTCCCTCCCCCTCCCCCAATCAAGTCCCCCTCCCTCCTCAGCCCAAAGAGCAATCAGGGTTCCCTGCCCTGTGCCTCCTTACATTTTTTTTAAGTTAACTGCTTCCTCATTCTCTCTCTTTCTCTCTCTCTCTCTCTCTCTCTCTCTCTCTCTCTCTCTCTCTCGCCCTCCCTTCCTCCCTCCCTACATGCCTCTCCATACCCTCATGTGTTTCCTTGTCTCTGGCTTACTTGACTCTACTTATCTCTTTTGGACCCACAATACAGTTTTTCTCCTGAGTCATTCTATAACATCAGTGATTATTTTGGAATACAACCTTAGAAACCAGCTTGGAGATATAGGAAAGAAATTCAAACACACAGGTATTGGTATTTAGCCTCTTCACCCAGGATCATAATGTAAAACCATTATGACTCAGCCAGAGGAAGGACAGACTGTCCAACTAAAAGCAATGTAAGGAATCATGGGGAAGCAGCATGGGAAAACACAATGCAGCCCTGAAATTCAGGTCAGGCACAGGAGATGTCTAGTTTCCTTGAATGAGAAAAGAGATGTAGTAAAGTAGAAACTCAGTTTGTGAACTTCCTAGGTCTCCTGGCAAGGTAATGATGGAAAAGACCTCTTTCTGACCCACTGCATTGTATCACCATGGTTTCTCTGCTGTTCGTCTCTGTTCATAACTTCTCGGATTCCTCTATCTATGTTTTGAAAAACTATTTAATTTTTGAGACTGCAATATATCACTCTCCTTCCCCTTTGCTCCCTCTAACCCCTCTTGTCTGTTTTTATATAGTAATATGAACTTGAGTTTCCTTTATCATTGTCTCCATCATTAAAACTTTCATCAAGTCTACTCCCCCCCATAAGTACTCAATACTTACCAACCTCCTGTCCTAGGACTTTCCAATTCCAGAATTACCAATACCTATATAAAACAGAGTCTAAGGAATAAGTCTAGAGACTCTCACCTGTGACAACCATGTCCAGTGGGTCACTTGGGTCTGACCACACATAGGAATGTTGACTAGAAGAACTGTAACACCTGTAGGTCCCAGCATGTGCTGAAGTCACAGGAGATAGAGAGGTGTTGGCTTGAGAGCCTCCAGCATAAGGCTTTCCATCAAGATACATTTGACTTTCATTTACATCCTTTCTGTTCACAACCAGAATGAAGGTCTCAAACTTGGCTTCTGAACAGCATTTTAATGTCATCATCGCTCCTGATTTTACTGGAGGAGCTGGTAGGGCCAAGAGGGAAGGCTTTCTGTAGAGTCCTAAAAATAGAGATTGTGAATTTGAGGGTCACTGTTCCTCACTCCACATCATGGAAACAGGGATAGCAAAGGTTCTCCAACCCCAAGTCATTCCTCCTATTCATAAACCCATGTCCTCTTTGGTGGCTGTCTCTCTACCCACTTAACCATTTCTTTCCGTCTTTTGCTCAATTCTCTGTGTCAAATAGTTTCAGGCACCATCTGACTGGGGTTGTGCCATGCAGATGATGGTTGCATTCATCTACCAGAGACCTTTTCCATTTTCTATGATGGATGAGGTTAGAAAACATGGCAGTCTGGGTTTTAGACTCCCCTCTGTATACATTTCATGCTTTTTTAGGAAAAATGAAATCCCTGACAGGATGTTATAGTAGCAATAAGGCAACTGACAGAAGTTCTCCTATGCTTCCCTCCTGATCTTAGACTGGTTTGCCTAGTGTGTCTGGGCCTTGTCTGTGGTCTCAGCTCACAGAGGGTAATCTTGAGTCTGGATTCATGAACATCACCCCCTGTCATCCTGGTGGCAGCATTAGTACCCTTGTCAAACTTGTCTCAGCATCTCTTCTCTTCATGTTTGTCTCTGACTTGGGTACATTTTTAGTTGCTAATTGTTGATATTAGAAATGACCATAAAGATGACACAGGAAGAGAAAGTACATGTGTAATATCTTACAGTTTTGGAGGTGAAAAGTCTGAAATGAGCCCACTGGTACAAGTTTCATTTCTTAAAGGTTACATTTCTTCCAAATTCTGCAGGAGGAGAGCATATTTCTTTTTCTCTTCAGAATATAGAAGCCTCCTGTACTCTGTGGCTTGTGAACACTTGGTTTTCAGAACCAGAAAAATGGAGTATGTCTATGTCTCATGCTGCCTTGCTCTCACCTTCACTATCCTTCTTCTTCTCTCTTATAGGATATTGTAGCTATTCTAGCCTATGTGGACCATCCAGGACTTTTTCTTCATCATAAAGCCAACAGATTAAAATGTGAATTGCATTCTTCACCTCTGTTCCCCTTTCATATGAGAGTTGCTTTGTACCAACTCTCCAGTGAAATCTCACCAGGATCTCAAGAAAACTACATTAGTACCTTCTGAGTATAGTTTACTTCATACTCTAACCATCTCATATTAAGCGTCACTCTCAAAAATCGCAACATATTCACTCTCTATAGCAACACATTCATACTTGGAACCAAGTTTTTAGCACATGAACTTTATGTGGAGGTTAAACAACCAAGCCATCAGGTCACATGACATATTAATTGATTCTAGGGTTGGTATTATGAGTATCATTAGGGGAAACCTTTCCTGACTACCTTAGTGTCCAGTCCCCTGTACTGATGTTTCTGGAACCTGAGACACTTGGAGACATCTTCACTATCTGGGAACTCTTAAATAATAATTATACTCACAATCTCAATAGAAATTGTGGAACAGTAAAGAATACCTTTGACATGAGTTGTCTCACCTGTAACTATGATTACCAAGGGCTCACTGATTTCTGAAAATTTATTCGGGAGGTTAGGTTCAAAGCCCTGACATCTGTAGGTCCCCGCATGTGCCGTGGTCATGGGGTTTATGTCAAAGCTGTGTTGGAATATGATGTCTTGGAACTCCAGGATGTGGTCTTCATTTTCTTTGAATAAACGGAACACTTCAAACCCAAGTTGGGACTGACACTTGATAGTCACACACTCTCCAATGGGAACGAGAGAACTGGGCCAAGCAGACAGGGTGGGCTTGTTAGAAACCCCTGTGAAGAGAGAATGGTCCAATCTTAGAAAGGAGGAGGCAGGAATACCTTTCTTTGTGCTCAGTATCTCTCCTTGCTCGTGTATTTCTAAAGTCCCTTCCATGCCAATACACCCAGAAGTACATAATGACACCATATACTACTGAAACTTTTGAGCAATTACTGCATAAGAGATCCAATGTGGTAGGAAAATCAATTATATATAAAAATGAAGTCATCAATCAAGAATGAAATGACATCAAACTGCTTCAATTTGCATTAAGCAGCTGAGTCTGTTTAAAATAATCTGGAATGTCCAGGACACAGTAAAAAGTCTCTCTACCCCTTCTGGTACAATAACAGCTGACCTCTGCATGCTCCAACATCATGGATATTTTGGGGGAGATTGTATCCTCATCTGTCCTTGAGAGGGATGGCTGTTCCAAGCTGTGAGTCCTCCCCTATTACACAGATGACATCACTTTTCCTAGACACTCAGAACTCTTCTGATTCTTTCTAGTCCCCAGTGTTGATCAACTCATCCAAGGAAAGAATCTGTGAGTCTCTGGGACAGAATCAGAAAACCTATTTCCAGGTCTTTCACCTTCCAACTTATAAGATGTCAGTCACAGGCTGTCCTGTTAGTCTTTACACCAGCCCAATCCCTGTGCTGATTGCATTCCTGTTACAGAAAAATCGTTCTATGTAGCATGGGAAGTAATCCATAATTTGGAGTTAGACTCACCCACTTGTGCCCACGTCTTCTGCAACAGCAAGAATCCTGGAGGAAAAGACACTTAAGAGGTGAGCTGTCTTCTTCTGCCCCTGTTGAGTCTCTGTACATTAGAAGTCAGAGCCCACTCAGTGAAGATGAACTCATGTACCAACTCCCACCATTGCATGGAAGCCAGGCTCTCTGCTGTAGGCAGATCCAGCATCCCTAGCTGATATTTCCGCCCTTATATTCCACATCATCTTTCCCAGGAGAACTTACCAGGACACACCAGGCTAAGGACCGTAGGCAGCATGGTACTGCTTCTGCTGACAGGAGGCAGTTCCCCAATAAAACCATACAGGATTTCCTGAGAGACTCAACTCATCTGTTTCACTGGTTGACCACAGCTGAGAAAACAAATACTTGTTGGCTACTTGCATGTTGTTATGTGGCTCAAAAATCATGAAGGATTTCAGAAAATTCTCAAGACTCAAAGTCTTACTTTGCAGACTTTTACCATGACCATACTGGAACATGTCTTGACCTCAGTTCTTCTTATTCAGAGCCATAAAATAAGGTAATTATTTCAAAACTGTATCTTTAGATATTTTAATACAAGATTTAAATATTCTTCCTCTGCTGTGTACAAACATCAAATGGTGTGCGACAGTTCTATATTCTGTCAATTATATTTTAAACAAACTCTGATTGGCCAATAGCTAGGCAGAAGTATAGGCGGGAAAACCAGACAGAAAGTAGAGGTGGGGCTATGAGAACAGGAGTATTCTGGGAAGAAGGAAGCACTTCCCGCAGTCCTGCCCAGACCACCAAATAAGTAGCATTTGACCTACCCCGCTGAAAAAGGTACCAAGCCATGCGGCTAACATATACTAGAATAATGGGCTATATAAGTTATAAGAGCTAATACAAAGCCTGATCTAATGGGCCAATCAGTTTATACCTTATGAAGACCTCTGTGTGATTTTCTTTGGGGCTTAACAGCTGTGGGACCTGGTGGGAGGACATAACCCCCCAACAAGCCCAGCCCTCATGTTACAATCAAATGAGTACTTTCAATATAATAATCATTACATGTAAATCAACATGGTTTTACACTAATACTTCTAGTTTGGTTAAGATTATAAGAATTTCATTTCCAATTCAACTGATTATGTAGTTACTGAGAATCATAAAATCCCACTTCTGAAGAAAAGCCCAAAACATATATGTTTGCAGGACATCTGAAATTTATGATCCAGGGATCCACTCCTTTTTTTTCTTTTCCTCTCTTCTTTCTGTGTCTCTACCCTCTCTTTTCTCTGTTTATCAGTTTGTTGCATAATTTCCCACTACTCACTTAACATAATTCTGTTGAATAAAATTGCCAGTGGCCAAATTTTGAATTCTAAAAGAAAAAATTGCCTAGACATTTCAAGAAAAAAATATTAAAAAGAAAATAGAACATGGCAATTTCTAAGCATTCAAATCAACAATGTTTATCTTCAGTTCTTCCAGTTTTTCCTTTAAACTATTTCTTTGGGGAGGTCTGGAAGACTGGGGAGAATGGCACCGTTGTTAACTGCACTTACTGCTCTTGCAGAAGAACTGAAATCAGTTTCTAGTATCCCTGTGGAACTGGAGTTACAGGTTGTGAGCCACCATGCACTCTTCTGGACTCTTAGGGCAACTCTATGAACACACAGAGAATCACACAATAGGCATAACAAAATTAAAATCATTTTAAGTCTATTTTTCACTCATTCTTTGGAAATTTCATACATGTAAATAATTTCTCTTGGTAATATCCATCCCTATTTTCTCTGTACCCCTGAACACATCTCTTTTCTTCCAACTTCATGTACTCTGAGTACAGATATTGTTGCCCATGTGTACATGGGTGGGGGCCTATTAACTGTTGTAATTGGTGCGGCGGGGCTGCGTCCCCAGCACCCCAGCCGTCTCGCTAGCTTATGCCCCGAAATAACAACACACAAATTGTATTCTTTTAAACACTGCTTGGCCCATTTCTATCTAGCCTCTTCTCTGCTAACTTGCACCTGGACTAGCCCATTTCTTATAATCTGTGTAGCCCATGAAGTGGCTTACCAGTGAGATTCTAGCCTACGTCCATCCTGGGTCGGAGCTTCATCGCGTGTGCCTCAGAGAGTGGAGCTCTCGCATTAGGAGAGGGGAGCATGGCATCTCTGAGCTCACTTCCTCTTCCTCCCAGTATTCTGTTCTGTTTACTCCACCCACCTATGTTTTAACCTATGAGGGCCAAGCAGTTTCTTTATTGCTTAACCAATGAAATCAACAGATTGATATATGACACTCCCACATCAATTAACTGAAGTATGGGCACCAAGAGTCACATCTCTGAAGAAAATTGACTCTCCCTTCCCGAGCAGCCATAACTACAAATAGCTCCACAGTTAGAGGTGGAACCTCAGAAACACATCTCCTATTCATACTGGAATAGTAAAGAAGTTTGATCCTGAAAATGTTTTTAAATAATTAATTAAATAACCTGGCACATGAAAATTACATGTATCTATCATAGCCTAAGTGATGGGTATGCACCATGGAATAGCCAACTGTAACCAAATATTAATAATGTTATTTCACAATTTTGTGCTTTTTGAAGGTAAAACACTGATAGCTACTGTGATGGTTTGAATAAGAACAACCCCCATATCTTCATAGATATGAACGCTTGATCATTGCAGAACAGTTTAAATTGACAGAGATTTGGAAATGTGGCCTTACTAGAATAGGTGTGTTATTGGAGGTTAGGTCTTTGAGGTTTTATGGACCCAAGCCAGGTCTAATGTCTTTTCCTGATGCATGCTAATCTGGATGTAAACTCTGTTACCTCTCTAGCACCATGCCTGCCTGAATGTCACCATCCCTACCATAATAAGAATGGACTAAAATCTCTAAAATTATAAGCAAGTTCCAACTTAATGTTTTCCTTCATAAGACTTGCCTTAGAAATGTTGTCTCTACAACAGAACACTGACTGAGACATTGACTTTTAGTGATTTTTCATGGATACATTCTTTGTCTTTTCCCTCTAAAATTGCAAAAGAGTGTTCTCTGTTTAAGTATGTACTTCATTTTTTATTGTATTATTTGTTCTTTTGATGAACAATTTCTTGAGTTCTTTATATATTTTGGAGATCAGACCTCTGTCTGATGTGGGATTGGTGAAGATATTTTCCCACTCTGTAGGCTGCCGTTTTATCTTGTTCACCATGCCCTTTGCCTTACAAAAGCTTTTCAGTTTCAGGAGATCACATTTCTTCATTGTTTCTCTCAGTGTCTGTGCTACTTTAAGAAGCGGTCTCCTGTGACAGTGTGTTCAAGTGTACTTCCTATTTTCTCTTCTATGAGACTGAGTGTGACTGGCTTTATATTTAGGTTTTTGGTCAGTTTGGATGTGAATTTTCTGGATGGTGATAGACATGGGTCTTTTTCATTCTGCTACATGTTAATAACCAATTATGCCAGCATCATTTGTTAAATATGCTTTCTTTTTTCCATTTGATATTTTTTGCTTCTATGTCAAAAATTAAGTGCTTGTAGGTGTGTGGATTGATATCTGGGTTTTCAATTCTGTTCCATTGGTCCTCTTGTCTGATTTTATGCCAGTATCATGCTGTTTTAGTACTGTAGCTCTGTAGTAGAGTTTGAAGTCAGAGATTGAGATGCCTCCAGAGCAGAACTCTCAATAGAGAATTCTAAAATGGCTTAAAGATACTTAAGGATCTGCTCAAAATCCTTAGTCATCAGAGAAATTCAAATCAAAACAACTCTGAGATTCCATCTTATACCTGTAAGAATGGCCAAGATCAAAAACACAAATGACAACTTATGCTGGAGAGGTTGTGGGGTAAAGGGAACACTCCTGCATTTCCAGAGCAAATTTGTATAGCCCCTTTGCATATCAGTATGGAAATTTTTGAGAAAAATAAGAAACAGCCTTCCACAAAACCCAGCAATACCACTTTGGGGTATATATCCAAAGGATGTTTAATCGTACCACAAGAACATGTGCTCAACTATGTTCATAGCAGCATTATTTTTCGTAGCCTGAACCTAGAAACAATCAAGGAATGGATAAGGAAAATGTGGTGCATTTATACAATGAAGTAAACACAGAAGAAAAAAAATAATGGCATCTTGAAATTCTCAGGCAAATGGATGAAGCTGGAAAATATCATTTTGAATGAGGTAACCCAGACCCAGAAAGACAATTATCATATGTACTCTCTCATAAGTGGTTTTTAAACATAAAGCAAAGAACACCAACCTACAAATCACAATCCCAGAGAACCTAGACAACAATGAGGACTCTAAGAGAAACATACATGGATCTAATCTATATGGGAAGTAGTAAAAGTAGATCTCTTGAGTAAATTGGGAGCATGGGAACCTTGGAAGAGGTTGAAGGGGAGGGGAGAGGCAGGAAGGACAGCAGAGAAAAATGTATAGCTCAATAAAATTAACAAAAAATGAACTAAAAAATTTGCAGAGTGCTGTTATGAACTGATATTACTTGTGATTTATATTCAATACTCAGATTAACAGATGGCACAGACTACCTAAGTATTTGATTTTCTTTTTATGAAACAATTATATATATTTTAAATTATGTATTTGTGTACGTATCTGCTAAGGCCAGGGAGTCACATTCTCTGGAGACAGAGTTACAGGCAGTTGCCAGAAACCCGATGTATGTGCCGATAAATGAAAACTAACTTCCTGTGCAAGAGGAGTGTGCACCACCCGAAAGATATAGAAAAAAAAAAGAAGCAAACTCACCCAGAAAGAGCAGAAGACTAGAGATAATCAAACTGTGGGCTGAAATCAACAAAATACAAGCACAGAAAACAATCCAAAGAATCAATGAAACAAAGAGCTGGTTCTTTGAAAAACTCAACAAGATTGACAAACCCCTATCCAAACTAATCAAAAGGTAGAGAGAGAACACTAAAATTAACAAGATCGGAAGTAAAAAGGGGAACGTAACAATAGACACTGAAGAAATTCAGAGAATCATTAGGTCTTACTACAAAATCCTGTATGCCACAAAATTGGAAAATGTAAAAGAAATGGACATTTTTTTGATAAGTACTATATACCAAAATTAAATCAAGACCAGGTGAACAATTTAAATAGACCTATAAGTCACAAGGAAATAGAAGCTGTCATCAAAAACTTCTCAACCAAAACAAAACAAACAAACAAACAAACAAACAAAAAAAAACCCAGGGCCAGGTGGTTTTAGTGCAGAATTCTACCAGACCTTTCAAGAAGAGCTAATATCTAAACTCCTCAATATGTTCCACACAATAGAAACAGAAGAGTCATTACCAAACACTTTTTATGGTGATACAGAGATTAATGGAGATGGGTTAAATTAAGATGCAAGAGTTAGCCAATGAAAAGTTAGAGCTAAAGGGCAAAGCAGTGATTTAATGAGTATAGTTTCCATGTAGTTTTTTAGGTTCTGGGTGGTCAGGACAAATAAGCACCTCCCTCCTGCAACTGGGAGTTGATGCTTAGGAATGGGGATAGGCTAGGTATTTGAAAGTGGTCACATCAACCACTTTGGAAATCGGTGTTTCCGTTTCTCAGGAAATTCGGGATCAACGTACCGCTGGACCCAGCAATATCACTCCTGGGAATATACCCAAGAGATGCCCTATCATATGACAAGAGCATTTGTTCAACTATGTTCATAGCAGCATTATTTGTAATAGCCAGAACCTGGAAACAACCTAGATGCCCTTCAATGGAAGAATGGATGAAGAAAGTGTGGAATATCTACACATTAGAGTACTACGCTGCAGTAAAAAACAATGACTTCTCAAATTTTGCATGCAAATGGATGGAAATAGAAAACAGTATCCTGAGTGAGGTAACCCAGACCCAAAAAGATGAATATGGGATGTACTCACTCATAATTGGTTTCTAGCCATAAATAAGGGTCATGGAGTCTACAATTGGTGATCCCAAAGAAGCTAAGTAAGAAAGTGAACCAAAGGAATAACATATAGTTGTCCTCTTGGCTATGGGAAGTAGACAAAATTGCCGGGGAGAAAATTGAGATCTTGGGGGTGGGGTGGGATGGGGGTAAGGGGAGATGGGGAGAGAAAAGGAAGAAGGGGAGAATGGGGGGAACTTGGGGAAAAAGGAGGATTGGGATAAAGGAAGGTTAGATAGGGGAGCACGGAAGCACAATTCTTAGTTAAGGGAGCCACCCTTAGAGTTGGCAAGAGATTTGAACCTAGAGTGGCTCCCAGATGCCCAAGCCGAGGTCCCCAGTTAGTTCCTTGGGCAGCTGAGGATAGGGAACCTGAAATGACCCTATCCTATAGCAATACTGACGAATATCTTGCATATCATCATAGAACCTTCATCTGGTGATGGATGGAGATAGAGACAGAGACCCACACTGGAGCACTGGACTGAGCTCCCAAGGTCCCAATGAGGAGCAGAAGGAGGGAGAACATGAGCAAAGAAGTCGGGACCACGAGGGGTGCACCCACCCACTGAGACAGTGGAGCTGATCTATTGGGAGCTCACCAAGGCCAGCTGGACTGTGACTGAAAAAGCATGGGATAAAACTGGACTCTATGAGCATGGCGAACAATGAGGGCTGATGAGAAGCCAAGGACAATGGTGTGGGGTTTTGAACCTACGTAATGTGCTGGCTTTGTGGGAGCCTAGCCAGTTTGGGTGTTCACCTTCCTAGGAATGGACGGAGAGGGGAGGACCTAGGACTTACCACAGGGCAGGGAACCCTGACTGCTCTTTGGACTGGAGAGGGAGGGGGAGAGGAGTGGGAGGAGGAGGAGAAGGGTGGGAGGAGGGGGAGGGAAATGGGAGGCTGGGAGGAGGTAGAAACTTGTTTTTTTTTTCTCCTTTACTCAATAAAAAAAAAAGAAAGTGGTCACATGATGAATCTGAGCAGAGTGTTCAACTAGGGTCTGTTTATCTCCTTAGAATATGACAAGACATTGGAGATCATTCACTCCAGAGGTTCTGCTACAGAAGCAGGGATGACACTGGAAGGTTTTGATCTGGAGGGGTAGGAAGATTGGTATGAATCAGCCTTCAGCATAGTTGTTGTCTTGGAAGGAAAGGTCCTTGGATTAATAGGGACTGCCTACTGGCATTGGAGACTGGAACAAATCAATGAGTGGAGGAAGGGTAGTTTGAATGGGAAGTTCTGTAGGATCCACTGGAGATAGAAGCAGCAGACATTAAAGTCTGCCACAGGTGTTCTGCAGAAGAACTGGAAATGAGACTAGGAATTGGATCTAGGAGAGCAAAAGGAGGAGAGAAGATCTGCAGGCAGCCTACCTGATTTTCTCATAGGCATGGCTTCTGGGATAACAGGGGTGCCTGTTATAGTTAGGGGCTGGAAGTTGGGGAAAACATGTGGGTTTCATAGGAGATATAGGCAGAGAGTGAGGAATGCTGAAACCAGTACTCTATTGCAAAGCCAGGGATGAGGCTGAGGGATTGCATTTGGAGGAGAGTAGAGAGTGGTGAAGATCTTCAGTTGACTTGCCTGTTTCCCTGGACTGTTTAAATGGTATGTTTACAGGGATGCTGTCCATTAACTTTTAATTTAGTTTCAGACAAGTTCTTAGGGCAAGAGCAGAAGACAGACATCATTTGCCAAAATATCACAGGATGGCCTCTCACTGGGTTGCTGTTAAAGTCCTTGCTTCCCTCTGAAACATCTCCAGCAAGGTCTCTCTCTATAGTCTTGCGTGCTTTTAGCACTGTCTTCCAGGGTTCCCACTAGGATAGCCAATTAAGCCCTGCTTACAGCTTTCAACCTCTTCTCTGTTCCAAAATCATGAAATCTTCCACATTCCTCTAAAAAGACTGCATGATCAGGCTTGTCACAATATCCCACCCCCGGTACTGACTTCTATATAATTTACTTTTCTATTGCTATGACAAAACACCATAACTAAGGTACATTATATAACAAGCAGTTTATTTGCATTTAAAGTTCCAGAGGATTAGTTCATGATGGCAGAGTGAAGGCATGGTAGCAGGAAAAGAAAGCTGACAGCTTACATCTTGAATTACAAGAGCAAGAGGAAAGAGTTGTTTTGTGGCAAGACTTGTCCTGGGAGATACAGCATACATGTGTACTCGCTCTCAATAGGGAGTCAATGACAGACAAAAGTATGGATACCATTAAAGTCCAATCTAGTGAACCAATGAGTTTTATTGAGGTAATTTACAGGAGCAGAAATGACTCTACCATGAGTGACAACTCACAAAGGGCACATTTCAGAACTTTCAGGCAAGCTAAACATATTGGAGAGTGTCTTTTCCAGGTGACTCCAGTCCAAACCTCTTCTAGGCAGCTCAGTTGTTTCTTTATTTTTCCAGGAAGTAGATCTGGTCTCGGATTCTTCTTTGCAGCTTACCTTGTCTAAGAGTAACTCACAACAGCTCTTCTTGTTAACTCTTAGAAAAAAAAGGACCTAGTAAATCTTGTTAGTTTCAGAGCCTTTCTGGGGTTATTTTGAGTTGTTTGGCTTCTGACTTAAGAAGATTCCCTGCAGAGTGAAATATTTCAGTCTTGTAGAAATGAACACACAAGAGTGAGCTAGAAATGATGAGCCTTAAGGCTTCAAAACCTAGCCCAGTTACACAATTCTTCCGACAAGACCACATGTCCTAAGCCTCTCCAAACAGCATCACCAGATGAGGACCAAGCATTCAAATGCCTGAGACTTTGAAGGCCATCTCATTCAAGCCACCAGACTGTTCTAACTTAGTGGGTGTAGAGTCCTCTTCACAGATCTCTTTGACATTTTCCCTGCACCCAAATATGTTGTTCTCTTCAGGGTATGCAACAGCGTTCAAACACTTATACCACAAATTTACTTCCATGATTTCTTCTACTTGTAAGATTCATCTTCAAGCCTCTACCACATTAAGAGATAGATTCACCATTCTCTCTGGTTCACCTCCATCCTGAATCTTGGTGACTTCTCTGACTGTTTTGTGCCTCAAAAAGTAGAATCCCAAGAACCACCAGAACCAAGCCAGCCACAGCCATCCTGATGAGATTCTCCACTGTATGATCTTGTGAGTGTGAATCTGGGAATTTGGACAAATAGGACAATAAAATCAGTAGAGTACCAAATTGAAAAGCAAGTGAAATAAACACCTGTATCAATAAGAGAAAATAATGTACAGAAGTCAATAGCTTTTAATGTATATTTATTATTTAGTAAATATAAGGCCATGAAAATGCATATGTTCCAGTTATTAAATTAATTGAATAATTCACTGAAATTTATATGACTATATTCAACTTTTATCAACAATGCAAAATATTTTATACATTATTAATATACAGTATATTTATTAATAATATGAAGCATAGACTGAGAACATAGTCATGAAAAGTAGACTACTTGTGGTTCAAGGCTTAAGTAGAGAGAGCAGTTGGCAAAGAAAATTTAAGTAGAGTGAACAGGTGGCAAAAAGGTTAATCAAAACTAAGGATATATTTTGAAATCCTAATGAAATCCTCTAGTTTGTATATATTTAAAAGGGAGTTGAAACAGAAGTATCCTGTATGCGTTGACAATGTTGCTTCCAGAAAGTATTGGTTAATAATTGAAAATCTTATTGCCAGGTACAGAATACTTCCTTATGTGTTATTCATCAGGGACACCTAAGAAGTACCCAGAACAATACAAGAGCCATTGCTCTTAGTTGTCTATTATAACTAGATTGTAATCGCCTCTTGCTAAAGATATCACTAATTTGTGTGGCAGTACAAACAGAATGCAACCTCAAACTGACTATGTAGTTCTCTCTCTCAGCTATTTCCACAAAGTGTTATGCAGGCTTCAGGGTAAGAAATGACATGATGGTCTGTTTTATCTAGCTCTGAACCCTGCATGTTATAATAGTCATCTTTGGTAAAATTGCTTACTGGTATTGACATAAGGCCTGAACCACAAGAAGGATTCTATGCATTGTGCTGTAAACATGGACAAAGACCCTTGGCTAGGGAGATCATAAGCCCTAGGTGTGGGGAACTCACTCTTGTTTTGCTAAATGTTCATATTGTCAAACTACATTCTAACTGTATATATTCATATGCACATATTTGTGCTACTCTCAACTCTGGTGGGAAACACATCTTTCTTCAGTGGGTAGTGATAAATGTAGAGACTCCTAACTGTTCAAAGTGTCTATTTTAACTGTGAGTACTCAGCTCTGGATAGGACATTTATATCAACTCCTCAGAGCCAACACTCAGAGAGCATCATGGAAGAGGGGCTGGAAGGAATATAAGAACCAGAAGACATAGAAGATAGCTGTGAAATGCTGATTCCTGTATTGCATGAACTGTTGGACGTATCAACTCAGAGAAACTGTAGTTCCCTACCTAAGACCTGTAAAAACTTAATCCAGTTAAAAATCCAGCCTATCAGAGGAAGGGACCCTCAAAGCTTCACCCCTATCTGAGGATCTGTGGGCGACTGCTGGGGTGAGAGAGTCAATCTCCTTTGTAGATGCGAACACTGATAGGTTGACCAAACCCTAGTGGATGGCCCACATACATACACATATGGGAGATTAATAATAAGTTTTTAAAGAGGATATGAAATTAAAAGGGAGATGAGATAGAGAAACTAGGGAGAGTTGGAGGGAGGTAGTAGTAGTAGAAGAATATGATTAAAATACATTTTATAAATGCATGAAAGTATCAAGAATAAACAAGACTTACACGAGATAAAGCCAGTCAAAACTCTGGCCCAGATGGGTAGATCATATATAAGTGTCTTGTCTTACTACTGATGATTTATTGGCAGTTGGCAGGTGATAGGGGAGGAGAACATTCTCCTTTGAATGTATGGCTGGTAGTAGATTTTTCAATGCTCTCATGGACCCACACCTATGCACATATGGGCAGCACTAACTGAACTAGGAGACTATAAAAGAGATGTCAAATTAGGAGAGGGGTGTATGAGGAGAGTTGGAAGGGCAAAGTATGTGAGTAAATATGATCACATTTCACCTTTTACACATATGAAAATATAAAAATAAATAAAAATGATCAGATATTATTTAAAAACAACCCTGCAAAACAAAGACTGTCTGTAAAAACAGAAAACAAAATTTGTGTGCTGTAGTTGGCCCTTGTGATTCCAGGACTAAAGAAGGAGAGACAGTCTGATCCCTGGCAGTCACTGGCTAACTAATCCTGTCTACTCAGCATGCTCCACATATGGGTGAGTTTCTGTCTTTAAAACCCAGGTGTATTTTTCTGTCTTTTTTATATAAGTCCACACTAGACATGCCTCCTCTGCCTATTCTTCTCACTCATTTACACTTATAAAACTCCTGTATTTCAGCCTTTCATCTTTCCTGGGACTTCACTCTTCAAACTTGTGATGACCATTCAGGCTCCCCAGCATGATACTTGTAGAATATGAATCTCTTATAGGACTGAGGATCCTCACTTGTGTTTAGGATATCCAAAGGCCATTTGTAAATGGTCACATGGAGGACACAGTATATATGTACCTTGTATACTGATGAATGTAGGAGCTGCTTACAGGGACCAATGTGACATCAGCCTGAGAGAGTTAAGCCTGGGATGCAGGTCACATCAGGCTGGGATGTAGTGTTTCCCTTAATTAGATACAACAAATCTATTATAGTGAGTGTCACCATGACATTGGAGGGTCATAGTCTCTCTAAGTACCTAGACATGGTCCTTATGGATCAAAACAGAGGAGTTCCTAGATGGTCTCAGAGAAAACATGGGCCAGGTATTAATGGCATAGCCCATGCCAAACACCTTCCACTCTCATTCATGTTTTCTCGCAGGTCTTGCTGTTTCCCTACATCAAGACCCCTAAGCATCCCTCAAATGTTTTTCAGCTATATTGTACTCCTCTAGAATAGAGCTCATGCAAAGAATTTATGGGCTTAAAATAAATGTCAAAGATAAGATTGCTTTACCTACAAGGAGGAGTTGCAGGGTCTCACTGGGCATTGACCACATCTGGGAGGTTCTCTCATAGTAGCCATAGCATCTGAAGGCCCATCTGTGTTTGGAAGTCACTGGCCCCACAAGAAACAAGGCCATAAAATGTCCATTGGGTTGTTTCTGGGAATCCTGAGTCCAGGACACATTCTGTTCTCCTTCCTTGGTAAGGATGTATCTTTCATATCCCTGATGTGAGCTACACTGGAGGGTGACATTCCCTCCCGAGGTCACGAGGGATCTTGGAAGGGCTGAGATGTTGGGTTTGCTGTAGAATCCTAAAATAGAAGACAGGAAAGTTGACTGGAAAATGCCTTCAACATTATCTAAAGACTGGGCTGTGAGAAGATTTCCTGAGAGCAAATTCCCTTTCTCAGGGAATAACCTGAATTTGGGACCCTTGAGAGTGCTCTTACCTGTGACCACAAGCTCTAGGAAGTCACTGCATTCTGACAAGTTAGAAGGGCTGAAATAGCAGCAGTAGTATAGTCCTGCATCATATTCTGTGATAAATGGAATGGAAAAGTTGACCTTGTTCCCAGGCTCCAGTGAGGTCTGTATCTTCAAGGGTTTTAAACGCCCCTTTTTATATAGATAGTACTTCTGGACTTCCTGGGTTCCAAAACAGAAGATATCAACAGACAGTCCCTTGGTGACCACAGAGTCTGGTTCAGCCCAGATGGTGGGTTTGTGCAATTTTTCTGTAAGAAAATGAAATGCTATATCTCAGGGTAGTCCTTTCCTATATTCTACCTCTAATCTCCACTATCATCAAAGCATCCTGCAAATCAACCCACACTTGTTTTTGTCCATATCCAGTACACAGGGGTGGTCAACTGATTTCAATGTGGAAACAGCATCTGACAAGGTGGGGAGAATGACTCACCTGCCACCATCGTTGTCCTGGGTTCCAGACTCAGCCCTGAAAGAGATTTCTCTGTGAGATTTTCTCCCTGAAGTTTGAGAAAATCCTCTCCTCTTCAAAGCCACTCAAGACCATTGGGTCTCCCGATAAGTCAGAGCATGGTTATAGCCTGAAGTCCCTCCCAGACATGGATGATCCCTCCATTTTTCAAATCTCACCAAGATGAAAGAACACTGTAAAAGTGAAGATCATGATGTCTCCCTCCCAGGAGTCCCAGCTGTGCAGATGAATGAGACCGCAGTGACTGTCAGGACAGATCAACACAGAAGGTGACCACCAAGACACTGTGCTCTCAATAATGGGCTGTCACATCAAGAAGAGGAAGTCCTACGCAACTGGCTCACTGGTGGAATGTTTATCTAGCAAGAGGAAGGCCCTGAATTGCATATAAAGCATTGGAAATAAAAATAAGAGGAAGTGTCCTCTTCAAGAGTGAGTATGTCACAAGACATGGCTAAGTGGGGCATAAGGTCTATTGATGACACTGGAGAGAGTAACAGGGCCTTAACCAGCCCCAGTTCTCTTCCTCTCTAATTCCAACAAATAGTTTCAAATATACCTCATCTCTTCATCAGAAATAACTCCCAGGTAATTGTGACTGAGGACTAAGAGCCTCCACATGGGGTTTTCTCTCCGTCCTGTCCATATCTACAATATCATGAAACCTTTACTCTCCTCATTCATATTTCTAACTCTGAAGATGTTTTGGGGGAATGTGCAAACTGATATTTCTGGGTGAGTTCAAAGCAAGATACCAAACACTTATATTTGTGGCTCACATGGAACTGATTTTGAGATTATTTAGGATTTTTACATGCTAGATTGTGTTATCTCTCCCAATTGCCTTGTAAATGTAACAATTGTTCTTCCTCTATCCAAACAATGAATCACTTTCCCCTTCACCCTCATTATATGGGTGTCAGTATCAGACACGAGATTCCTTGCTGATACCTGCAGGTTCCTTCCTTGGACTCACAGATCTCACAAGGATTTAGATAGTCACTGTAAATGTTGGGAAACCTTCTATAGCTTTCTATAATACAAGGAGACAGAAAAAAAAAAGAGAAGTTAACACTTACTAAATATTTAAATGAAGTTAGTCCTTAGGCTTTGGAAAAGGGAGGCACCCAGAGATGAACAGTGACATTAACTTCAGTAAGATTACTCAGTAAAGAGGAACATCAATTGTTTTGAGAAGTGAAACTTGTACAGCGTTTAGAGGCCCCGTCTTACTCTTGCAAAATGTACATGTTATAAAGGTTCATAGTTAAGGAAATAGGAAATATTAAAGTTTTTATGAGTTCTTTGAGGATTTCATACAATGTTTTGATTTTATCCACCCCTCCCTACTCATCTTAGATACAGCTCCTTCCTTACATGATCAACTTTGTGTCCTTTTTGGTTTTTGTTTTTTTTAAATCCATCAAGTCCAATTTAGTCTTGGATATGTGGCCTTCCAATGAAGCATGGTTGATGTACCAGAGACTACACCTTTTCACCCTTTCTCCACAGCTTTCAGTTACCAATATCTGATAGATGTGGGTGGAAATTCGCATCATCCTCACATCTTTATGCTGGATTTGGTCTAGTTTGATCTTGCACAGTTCTTATACATATAGTCTCAATTGCTGTCATTTTGTGTGTTAAGCTGCCGTGCTGTTTCCTTGTAGATAGCCACAATCTCTGACTCTTACAATTTTTTTTCTCTCCTCTTCCATATCTGAGCCTTGGTAGGAAAAGGATGTGCCATTTACAGCTGAGCATTCCTCAGTCTCTTATTTTCTGAACCTTGACCAGATGTGGATCTCCATGCCAACAATTATCACTGCATAAATAATCTTCTCTGATGAGGTTTAGAGATGCATTAATCTGTTATATAACAATAAGTCATGGGCTGGAGAGATGGCTCAGTGGTTAAGCGCATTGCCTGCTCTTCCAAAGGTCATGAGTTCAATTCCCGGCAACCACATGGTGGCTCACAACCATCTGTAAATGAGGTCTTCTGCCCTCTTCTGGTCTGCAAACACACACAGACAGAATATTGTATACATAATAAACAAACAAACAAACAAATAAATAAATAAATCTTTAAAAAAAAATAAGTCATTAAAATTCAGCTTATATTTGTACTTCCACCAGCAATGGAGGAGTGTTCCCCTTACCCCCATCCTCTCCAGCATAAGCTGTTATCAGTGTTTTTTATCTTAGCTCTTCTGACAGGTATAAGATGAAATTTCAGAGTTGCTTGATTTGGATTTCTCTGAAGGTTAAGATGTTGAGTATTTCCAGGCTGGAGAGATGGCTCAGAGGTTAAGAGCATTGCCTCTCTTCCTAGAGGTCCTAAGTTCAATTCCCAGCAACCACATGGTGGCTCACAACCATCTGTAATGGGGTCTGGTGCCCTCTTCTGGCCTGCAGACATACACACAGAATATTGCATACATAATAAATAAATAAATATTAAAAAAAAGATGTTGAGTATTTCCTTAATGGTCTTTCAGCTATTTGAGATTCGTCTGTTGATAGTTCTCTTGAGGTCTGTACCCCATTTTTGTTGGATTATTTGTTCTTTTGATGTCAAGTTTCTTGAGTTCTTTTTATATTTTGGAGATTAGTCTTCTGTCAAACGTAGAATTGGTAAAGATCTTTTCCCATTATGTAGGTGTAGTACAGAGCTGTGGGCTGCTTCCTGCTGCCCGGGAGGGCTCCCGGCCACCTGGAGCTTTACCGGAAATAATTACATGGAAACTGTATTCTTTTAAACACTGCTTAGCCCATTAGCTCTAGCCTCTTACTGGCTAATTCTCACATCTTGATTAGCCCATTTCTAATAATCTGTGTAGTACCACGAGGTGGTGTCTTACTAGGAAGGATCTTAACCTTCGTCCATCTTGGAGAGGAGAGCTATTGCATCTGCTTCACCTCCTTTCTTCCCAGCATTCTGTTCAGTCTACTCCACCTATCTAAATTCTGCCCTATCAGGCCAAGCAGCTTTCTTTATTAATTAACCAATGAAAGCAACAGATAGACAGATGACCTTCCTCCATCATGTAGGTTGCTGTTTTGTCTTCACTTTGGAAATCAGTATGGCAATTTCTCAGAAAATTAGGAAACAGTCTACCTCAAGACCCAGCAATACCGCTCTTGGGTATATACGAAAAGAATGCTCAATCATACCGCAAGGACAGGTGCTCAACTATGTTCATAGCAGCATTATTTGTAAGAGCCAAAATCTGGAAACAACCTAGATGACCCTCAACCAAATAATGAATAAAGAAAATATGGTACATTTACACAATGGAGTATTATATAGTGGTAAGAAAAAATAATGACATCTTGAAATTTGCATGCAAATTGATAGATATAGGGAAAAACATATTGACTAGGGAAAAACATATTGAGTGAGGTAACTCAGATCCACAAAGACAAATATAATATATACTCACTCATAAGTGACTTCTAGACATAAAGCAAAGAAACAAAGACAACCTACAGTCCACAACTCCAGACAACCTAGACACCAGAAGACCCTAACAGAGATATACATAGATCTACATGGGAAGGAGTGAAAGACAAGTTAGCCTGAGCAAATTGAGAGTGTGGAAGTCACAGAAGAGGGTAAGGAAAAAGGGAGGAAGGGATAGAAGCAGAAAAAAATGTTTAGCTCAATTAAAACAAAAATAAAAAAGAATAAATTCAGCTTAATACAATGTCCATTTAGAAGAATAGCAATAATTTTTTCCTTAGGGTCAATGACCTATTGTTTGACCATAGGTACTTAGCCTCAGTAATAATCCTAAGTATAAGTTTTATATTGTAAAGCAGGACATAAATCCAATCAGAAGGTGATTGTTTACACCCATGGTATTTGTGCAGCTATTGCTCAGTGGGCATGTCTTTCCAGGAGCATCATTATTGTAGTTTACAGGGTTAACAACTGGGTAAGACAGATTATTACTTTTCTCTTTCAGTAATAAGCATAGTGCTTTACATGACTATGATAGTTAGGTAGTAGAGATAAATCTTCAGGGTTGATAACAAATTTCTCAGTGTTCTGTGACTTGGGTGTATGGTATCTTCAGCAATAGGGTCTTATTATTAAGTTATAGAGAGCAAACAAGAACTCTGGAAAATAGCTGTTTGGGTACTAGGGAATCTCACTGGTCAACAACTCCAACAAGGTAAGCCATCACAGCATTGGACTTTTTATTTGTTATTGTGCAGTGTCTAGTAATAACAATGTTTCACTATTATAGTGTAACTCCATTGTAAATTATTTTTCTGCATGTCTGTCTAGAAACTTTTACAGTAGTGGGCTTCCTATGACTTTTCTGATGGTCATTAGAGGCCTATATAATGCCAATCATAGAAAATCAGAAAAGCAATTATCCATGGCATATCATAGTTAGAACATTAAAAACACAAGCTACAAATGAGAAAGCTTGTATTGATTAAAAGTTGTTCAGTCTGTGAGGTTAGTTGTCTCAGCTAATCTTCAGTATACTTCTTCCCAAAGAAGTACGCTCTAATGCCAGTGAAGAAATAGACATCACAGCTAGTGAAGGCAAGCAGGCAAAGAGAGATAGCTTCCTTCTTCCATGTCTTTTATACAGACTGCCAGAAAAAAAAAGTGGCCTAGATCAAACATGGATGTTACCACCTCAAAAGATGTAGAAAAAGAGTGTGCCTTCCCATGTCAAAGAATTTATTAAGAAAAATAATCTACACAGCCACTTGGACTTCTGTTAATTCCAGATGTAGACAAATTGGCAACCAAGAATAGCCATCAGATATGTTAAGTAACTTACAAAGAAAAGTCATTAGGGACTGGATTATTTGACAGAAATGTTTAAATCTGAAGTGCCTACAGAAATATACTCCAATTCCTGAAAGACTACAACTATCAACTGCAATTATTCTACCCAGTAAAACTGTATGTTAAATAGAAATGATTGCAAATCTTTAAGCAAAGAAGTATATAGATACGTTGTTGTTTTAAGATTACCATTACAGAAAGGCTTTTAAAAAACAATCACCATTAGGTGAGTAATGGATGTAAAAGAATTATAAACAGAAAACTGTGATAAAATCTAATGATCTGAATCAGCATGGTGAGTCCATCAGTATTCTAGGTGGTGTGCGGTTCCTGTGTATCCCTAATACAAATTTTAAATAATGAATAAGCTTACAGTTGAATGAGTCAAAAAGATAAGAGTTCTCTGCTCTTATCACACTGAGGAAGTT